ATTGTTATATATATGGCTTCTGTTTGTATTAGTGCCATTGGTCTGATATCATTTACTATTTATTAACCCCGAACTTATTAACCTCGAACTTATTAACCTCGAACTTATTAACCTCTAACGTTCGTTGGAAAAAAGGGAATACCATCAAAACTATTGTAGTTAAGGCTGATAACTGGTATCCACCGATAAGAAATACGGTTAATAAATCTCATTCACAAAAAAAGATTTCATTGTTCAGATAAAAGTTTAAAAAAATGTTTGACTTCTTTACTTTCCTCGTAAAATAATAGTTACTTTTTGTGAGAGAGCACGAAAATTTGGGCTGGTCGGACGACGCTAAATGGACAATAACGAGGGGATAGCCATATTCCATTTATATAACCTTAAGTTCATTACTCGTTTTACTGTCAAATATGTCTTTGTACAGCAGACGGTCAGGACTCTTCAACACTGGCAGCAGTAAAATCAGTTTTTACAAGAACTTAAACGAGAAAATATAAGAAATAGGAAAATCAGGGCGAAGTCATCTCACAGCATTTTATTAATTTATTCTATGTATTCTAGAATTGTAACTTTTAATTGTTATTTATGTATTAATTTTAATAATTATTGCAAGGCGCTGTTGGACATTTTCGTAGAAACGGCGCGGTATAAATTTTTTACCATTGTTATTATGATAACTAAAGATACAATTTAACGTCGCTAGCCTTAATAGCTTGGGTGGTTTGTTTTCCCATTACACACCACGAGATATTCTCTGAAGAATTGTTCTTTTATCCGTTTAAAAATTATTCCTTCGTACACATGCTACTATTTAAAGATTTGAAAGCGAGAGAATTTTTCTTTATCCATCTAAAAATTATTCATCAGTAGACTTGCAACTATTTGAACATTTGACAGCGAGAGTTCTGAAGATCAAGTATCATCACATGATCTGAAATGGGGCAACAAACCGGCTAAGCTAAAAAGGTCTATTGAACCGACTTAATACCTTACCTTATCTGTTTAGTATTTTCTTTGTTGCGGCCGGCAAAATATTTTCGAGAAAATTGATGTAGTTTTAAAGGCGTAACCGTCTATACAAGATAGCTGATACAATTACATATTTTCCTCTCACAATGGATGACATATAATGCTGAGCGACTGTTCTTCTTAAGTTATTTACAATATATAAAGGTTAAGAATATTGTACGCTTACATTATCAGGCATCCTTCAGAACATAGTATTTAACCCTCAAAGTTCCTTTTCTTAGCAGTAAAACTGATGCTTTAAATATCATCAGTCACAATTATAAATTATAAAACTATCGTCAGCTAGAGTTTCAAAAATGTTTCTTTCGTGTCACACTTGTACACTTATGACCCAGAATTCCCCGTTTCGTTGTCATGGATTAAAACATTAGATGTCCCTCTTGTTCCGCTTGTTCCGCGTTGCATTGTTCTACTCTGCGCCACGTGACGAACGCTGGTTTTTCGAGGCTGCGTACAATAAAACAAGAAATAAAATTGCATAACTTATGATAGGTTTGGAGAGAAACTGAGCCTATCTCGAGTTGCGGCCGTCCGCCATGATTGTAAAACTGCTTTTCAATCACAATGAAATTTAATTTGTTGTAACAAAATCAGTTCAAATATAAATACAGAGGATACTATGAAAAATCTGCAGTAATTTCGGTACTACACCTCGGTCGATGTTTAGGTTGGATGAGCATTTTACTCTTAAGTTTCATTTGTTATTTATTTTAAGGATGAACATAAGCTTGCTCGTCTGACATTCAAACTCACTTGCACGTAAAATATTCAAATATTTACCTTAACAGTTCTTTTACCAACATGATTTGAGTTAAAGGATTCTGTCTGCACGAGCCAACAAGAGATGAAAAGAATACAGAACACGACAGGCATAAAACTTCCAGCCGCCATAGTTCATCAAAACGTGAAACAAATTGCTACAAGAACAGCGTTAATGTTCTTTCTATCTTGCGAAGCGGTAAACTGAAATCAGTGATTTGCCAACCTTTCGTTAGGCTTTAGACGATATTTGGCAAGTTGTAGCGTTCTCATTGGCCAATAGCCACGCTTTAATTTGCGATACGCAAGAGAGAGTTTCCACGTTGTGAAGACGAGAAAAGCTGTGGAAACACGAGCCCACAGTTCGTGTTGCCACAGCTGTTTGCGAATTTTTCAATTCTTGCATGTTTCCATAAAACTACTAATCACGCACTCGCGGGCAGTAAATTTGTCTGCGAAAATTTGTTTCGGATCTGTAAAGAGCTGTTCNTTTTTTTTTTTTTTTTTTTTTTTTTTTGCTTTGTTTTGTTTTTTGTTTTCTTTTTCAGAGAAATTGCTTTGGCAATTCGTACATGTGGATTTTGCATTAACTAAGACAATTAAAGTTTATTTCGATATTAGCCCTTGGGAATTAAACCGTTCGCAGAAGGATGCGCGATTCTAGATCTGCAGCTGTTTCGACTAGACACATTACCACAGCACTCTGTTAAGAAAAATCTCATAAAGAGAAGCTAGGTTCATTAGTCGGAATAAAAGTTGCTTTATAACGTCTTGATTTAGCAATTTTTAAAATTGTACAGCTAATCTTCATTCGCTGTAGCTTGTTTAAAGTTCATTTTCCTGAAACGTGAGCAAGCCTGCATACAAATCAATTATGTTCAGATCGCGAAAGGTTTAGCAGCCCAATCAACTTCATCGTCAAACTATATACCGGTAAGCTTTGGTTAGGAAAAATAGAATTTCCTTTTGGTTTGATAAGCGATGGATACAATTTTCGATCCAACCGAGACTTAAGCGTTGCGACGTCTTCGAGCCGGAAGTCGTTCGTTCAATCTCATGTTAGTTTTTCCGCTATTTCTGAAGGTTGTGGGCGTACGTAGTGTAGTTCCGCTAAGAAAATAAATTTAATACTACCGATACTATTGAATTTTTTTCGGTGTGCTGTAAAACCTTTTTCGCACGGTTCAGTGAGAAACTAAAAACGCCCTCTTTTTCAAGAGACGGTCACTTCGTGATAACATTCGAAACACTTCCATTTTAGCATCATGACTATTAAAATTCTTCATGTTTGTTTTTAGTATATTGGAAACTTCGTTATCGCACTCCCTGGTATTGGACAGCTCAGGTGCTCGCGTCCCAATTAAGTGAAAAAATAAGGCGTCTGCTGAGATCCAATCAGATAGAAGTATTTTTTTATAGAACGATATGATTAAACATGGAGCCTACTCAGTCCACTTAGAATTAATAAACTCAGCACACCGCCAGACTTGATCGGCTTAGCTAAAATTTGTATAGTACCGTATTTTCTGGATTAAACGCCGGGTGTCGCACGTAGATTCGTAAATAAAACCCTTAAGGTATTTATATTCGAGCTGTAGTAAGCTTTAGGTATAATTATAAGATATTTTAAAGCTCTAAAAATAATGAATAAAAATTCTAATAAACTACAAGCTCTAATAAACTGCAAAAGTCAATAAACGCCTGATCCGCGAGTCAAGTTTAAAATAAACGCCGGGGGCGTTTAATCGAGAAAATACGGTACGTATGCTCACAGCCAATTACTGAAAAAGAATGGCAGCATATATTTGGACAGCTGTCTCGCCTAAGTTAGAACTTGTCAGTTTGGCATAGTTAAAGGTCCACGTAGTGCGTCTATACAAATTTACGTTGCATTAATTCAGACATTTTTCAAGGCCTGATAATTATTCGATGGGGAGAGGAGTTGAGGGGCGCGACCAAAAAGATTTGAAGCTACCGGGGCCCTGGTCGCAAATTCTGTGCATGTGTCGTTTGTGTTGGTCTAAGTACCAGACTATCCTTAAGAGAACGCACCTCTTGCCTCATTCGCAAAGTAATCCGATTTAATGGCAGTTGAAGTCAACACTGTATGATAGACGCTTTAAGGGCGTTTACTCGAGCTTCGTATCTCAATATAAAATCGTGCTCTACAATTATTGAACAGAAGAAACAGAAAAAAATAAAAGAATCAGGATATTTAACATAAGAGTTGAGCTTAGATATTTACTATTTAAGTTGCTTCGTTGAGTATCCGCTTTATCCAATTGCATGTCATTTGCCTCAACTTCAAAGTTCTGTTCACGAAGATTTTTGATTTTTCAACATCTGAGATGTTCATGAAAACTAGCATGAACTTTGCTACTTTGGGTAGCTTTCAAACTATAGAACTCGGGGACCAATCCGTCCGACAACCCTCGACATCTCTGTATGTGAGATAAGCGTATAAGGCATGATTCTCTCCAAAGCTTTCTCACAAAACACATCATTCGCGTTGTTCACGAAGAGCGAAGCAATCTCCTCATCAGTTTCCGTGCTTTCGGCTAGGAACGTCTGGCACTATGAAAACCTGC